AGGGTTTCACCATATTGGCCAGGCTGGTTTTGAACTCCTGACCTCATGATCCACCTGCCTCAAAGTGCTGGGATTACAGGTATGAGCCACTGCACCTGGCCCCAAAAGAAATTTTTTTAAACTACCTAGCAAATGTTATCTTAATTAGTACATGGCATTTTAAATAAGTGAATCGCTGAATAAAAAAGTAAACTGTTAAAAAAGTACAGAACGTTAAATCTGACTTTAAAATGAAGGCAATTTAATTTTCAAATAGAAAGATGTGAGGGAAATCTTATTCTTCTTGCCATCTAAGGACTACACTCTGCCCTTTTTCTTCTGCTCAAATTTGTACCTAAGTGACCTGGGGAGTCACACCTTACAAACATAAGAGGGGTTTTATTTAACCCTAGAAAATGTGGCTTACTTTCCTATCTCACTCTGGCATAATATCACATGACAGATAAAGAAAGAAATAAAAATATTTTAACCCCAAATACGTGTATTTGCCATATCTTGAAATAGCCTGCAAAGCTATCTCTTGCGAGGAAAATCTACATTCTGCAGAGAATCCACTTCCCTTCCAGGTCTTTTCCCTGATCCAGAAGAGAATCAACTAAGAGTCTGGCACCTTTTTAAGACCGATAAAATACATTTACAATCATTCTTTCTGAAGCCTGCTACCTGGAGGCTTCATTTGCATAAGAGCCTTGGTCTTATGCAAGACCACTGACCCCTTATCTAAACCCAGACATTCCCTTCTATTGATTCCAGATCTTTAGACAATAACTCTTTGAACCAACTGCCAATTACAAAACCTTTAAATCTACCTATAACCTGGAAGTCCCGCCTTTCTGAACTGAAACAATGTATATCTTACACATGACCCAAGCACCTTGGACACACGTTCTCAGGATCTCCTGGAGGCTGTGTCAGGGGCTCTTGGTCACTCATACTTGGTTTAGGATAATCTCCAAATATTTTACAGAGTTTGAGTCTTTTAGTCAACACATCTAATTAAATGTCAAGATGCATTTACAGGTGACTTTGTCGTATTTCTTAGGAAAAGCAAACAATGTCATCCAAAAAGAGATTTTTAATCTGTATACTCTGGAACCAGACCTTAGTTCTGGCTATTATATTGGGCAAATCACTTAATTTTGTCTATTCCCATTCCTCATGTGGAAGGGCCTGGACACTTTAGAAGGATTAGATAGGAAATACAAGCATACCTCAGAGATATTGCAGGCTTAGTTCCAGATCACTGCAATAAAGCAAATATCACAGTAAGGCAAATCACATTAATTATTTGGTTTCTCAGTGCATATAAAAGTTATGTTTATATTGTAGTCTATTAACTGTGCAATAGTATTAGGTCCAAAAAAAAAAAAAAAAACCATGATGTACATTCCTTAATTTTAAAATATTGATAAAAATGCCAGTGAATATCCAAGCCATCAGCAAGTTGTAATCTTTTTGCTGGCTGAAGGTTTTAATTTCTTATTTGTTTCTTAAGACAGGGTCTCACTCTGTCACCCAGGCTGGAGTGCAGTGGCATGATCTCCGCTCACTGCAACCTCTGCCTCCTGGGTTCAAGCAATTCTCATGCCTAAGCCATCCGAGTAAATGGGATTTACAGGCATGAGCCACCGCGCTCAGACTTGGTGTAGGGTTTTGCCTGGATGTTGATAGCTGCTGATCAGAATGGTGGTTGCTGAAGAGTGAGGTGGCTGTGGCAATTTTTTAAATAAGACAACCATGAAGTTTGTTTTGGGTTTTGGGGTTTTCTAGGGAAAGGGTCTCGCTCTGTTGCCCAAGCTGTAGTAATCATAGCACATGCAGCCTCTAATTCCGGCACTAAAGTGATCTTCCTGCCTTGGCTTCCCAAAGTGTTGACATTACAGGTGTTAGCTACCATGCCATGCCACAACCATGAACTTTGCTGCATCAGTGGACTCTTCCTTTCAGAAAAGATTTTTTTATAATATGCAATGCTGTTTCATAGCATTTTACCCACAGTAGAACTTCCCTCAAAATTGGAATAAGCCCTCTTAAAACTTGCCACTGCTTTTTAAATGTATGTAATATTGTAAACCCTGTGTTGTCATTTAAACAATGTTTACAGCATCTGCACCAGTAGATTTCATCTCAAGAAAACACTTTCTTTGCTTGTCCGTAAGAAGCAACTTTTAAATGACATGGTGGCTTGTGCCTATAATTCCAGCACTGTGGGAGGCTAAGAAAGCAGCAGGATCACCTGAGGTCAGAAGTTTAAGACCAGCCTGACCAACATGGCGAAACATCATCTCTACTAAAAATACAAAAATTAACCAAGCATGGTGGCACATATAATCCCAGCTACTCAGGAGGCTGAGGCAGGAGAATCGCTTGAAGCTGGGAGGCAGAGGTTGCAGTGGGCCGAAATCATGCTATTGTACTCCAGCATGGGCAACAAGAGCAAAATTTTACCATGAGACTGCACCAACTCAGTCACATCTTCAAGATCAACTTCTAATTCTAGTTCTCTTGAACTACTACATCTGTGACAACTTCCTCCACTGAAGTCTTGAACCTATCGAAGTCATCTGATCCGTAAAGGTTGGAAGCAACTTCTTCCAAACTCCTGTTACTATTGCTATTTTAACCTCCTCCCATGAATCACTGATTTTCTTAAAGGCATGTCAAATGGTGAATTCTTTACAGAAGGTTTTCTATTTACTTTGCCCAGAATCAGAGGAATCACTATCTATGGTAGCTACAGCCTTATGAAATATTATTTCTTAAATAAGATTTGAAAGTTAAAATTACTACTGAATCCATGGGCTGCAGAATGGATGTTGTGTTACTAGGCATGAAACCAACATTCATCTCCTTATACATCTACATCAGAGCTCTTGGGTGATCAGATGCATTGTCAATGATCAGTAATATTTTGAAAGCAATCTTTTTTTCTGGGCAGTAGGTCGCAATGGTGGGTTTAAAATATTCAGTAAATCATGCAGTAAGCAGATGTGCTGCTATCCAGGCTTTGTTGTTTCATTTACAGAACACAAGCAGAATATATTTAGTATAATTCTTAAGGGCCCTAGGATTTTCAAAATGGTAAACAAGAATTGGCTTCAACTTAAAGTCACCAGCTGTATTAGCCCCTAACAAGAAAGCTGACTTGTCCTTTGAAGCTCTGAAGCCAGGCATTGATTTCTCTCTAGTTATGAAAGTCCTAGATGGCATAGTCTTCCAACATAAAGATGTTTCACCTACATTGAAAATCTGTTTATTAGTGTAGCTACCTTCATCAATTATCTTGGTTAGGCCGGGCGCGGTGGCTCAAGCCTGTAATCCCAGCACTTTG